TAGAAGAAAACATAGGGAAAGTGCTTTATGACGTTGGTCTAGGCAAAGATTTTAAAAGCAAATGCAACCGCCCCCCAAATAGACTAATGGGACTATATCAAATTAAAAAATTTGTACAAAGGAAACAATCAACAGAGTGAAGAGACATCCTATAGACAGCCTATAGGAGAAAATATTTGCAAACTATTCTTCCAACAAGGGACTAATATCTAAATATAAAAGGAACTCAAACAATGCAATAGCAAACAAACAAACAGACCAAAATCCCCCAATAATCCAATTAAATATGTGCAGAGCAACACCATTTCTCAAAAGAAGACATGCAAATAGCTATCAAACAAATGAAAAAATGCTCCATCACGAATTATCAGGGAAATGCAAACCAAAGCCACAATGAGATATCAGGTCACCACCATTAGAATGGTTATCATCAGAAGGATAAAACAAAACAAATGCTGGTGAGGATGCAAAGAAAAGGGAACTCTTAAACACTATTGTTGGGAATGTAAATTAGTGCAATCATTATGGGAAACAATATAGAGGTTTCTCAAAAAACTTTAAATAGAACTACCGTGTTTCCAGCAATCTTACTGCTAAGTATTTATCCAAAAGAAAGAAAATGGGTATACCAAATAGATACCTGCACCCCCATGTTTATTGCAGCTCTATTCACAATAGTCAAGGTGTGGAATCAACTTAAATTTTGTCTATCAACTAATAAATGGATAAAGAAAATGTGGTATATATGTACAATAGGTTGAATATGTACTATTCAACCATAAAAAGGAATGAAATTTTGTCATTCACAACAACATGCACAAGCCTAGAGAACATTATGTTAAGTGAAGTAAGTGACTCAACAGAAAGTTAAATACCGTATGTTCTTACTTATATGTGGGAGCTAAAAAAAAAATAAAAAAGAGCTTGCAGAAGTAGAGAGTAGAATTGTGATTATTAGTGGCTTGGAAAGCTTGTGGAAGTGAGGGGATAGGGAGAAACTGGTTAACAGATACAAAGTTACCCCTAGATAGGAGGAATAAGGTCTAGTGTCCTGCAGCACCGAAGGGTGAATATGGTTAACAGTAGTTTGGTGTATATTTTTAAAAAATTATGAGAGGATTTTGAATGTTTATAACACAAAGAAATGATAACTGCTCGAAGTGATGGCTATACTAATTACACTAGTTACACATTGTTTACATGTATCAGAATATTACTCTGTACTATTCCATAAAAATAACAGGAAAATAAATGAGCAAAATGAATGTATGAAGAGAAAGAACTTTTGAATAATTTTATACCAATTAAAGAAATTTAATTCATGATTAGAAACCTTTCCAGGTTTCTAGAATCAAATGTATTCAGTGATAAATTCTATCAATTATTAAGTAATAAATGCTGTCATTCCTTGTTTCAGTCTGTTTTGTGCTGCCATAACAGCATATCAAAAACTGGATAATTTATAATGAGCAGAAATTTATTGGCTCACTGTTTTAGAGGCTGGGAAGTCCAAGATCAAGAAGCTGGCATCTGGTGAAGACCTTCACACTGAGTCACCCCATAGTGGAAGGGCAGAGAGAGAAACAAAAGGAGGCAGAACTCATCTTTTCATAAGGAACCCACTCCCGTGATAACCAGTCCACTGTCACGATAAAGTTATTAATCCATTCATGACAGCAGAGCCCTCACAGCATGAACACCTCTTAAAGATCCCACTTCTTAATACTGTTACAATGGCAATTAAGTTTCAACATGAATTTGGGCAAGGGGCAAACATTCAAACCGTAGCATTTTTACTCAGGAATATGTAACATCCCTACATTCCCCAGAAAGTGAAGAAGAAAGAGCACTTTTCAATCTATTTTATAAGAGTTAAATAATATTGATATAAAAACTAGACAAGGACATTATAAGAGAGAACACTGGTTTCAAATAAAGTTAAACATAAATGTAAACATGGTATATATATTTTCTATATATAAACATACTTGATAATTCTATTTCTAGGTACTTGCACAAGAAATAAATACATGTCTACCAAAGGATTTGTGAAAAAAAAAGCCCTTAGAGAAGTTTTATTTACAGTAGCTAAAATCTGGAGACTATTTAATTGTCCGTTGACTGGCAATGGATACAAATAATGAGGCCTATCTATGCAATGGATTCCACTCAGCAATTTAAAAGAAATAGAAACAGTATGCTTATATACTCATCAGTATGAGTGAATCTCAAAAACATGTGGTGTGAAAGAAACTTCACAGTAAAGAGTACATAATGTATACATAATGCATGATTACAATTACCTGAATTTCTAACACAGGCGAACATAATCTATAGGGAAGGAGATCAGAAGAGCCTTTCTGGAACCTCTGGGAAGGGGCATGAGGGAGTCTTTTGAGGAGCTGTAAAGAAAGGTTCTATATCTTGATGTAATAAATGTGTCAAAACTCATCATATTATACACTTAAGATCTGTGCATTTCACTATAGGTGAACATTTTTAAAACACTTTTTAAATAGTCTGTCGAACAAAGAAATAAAGAGGCAGACATTTCTCTCTGAATGGAATGACAAGCATAGACATGGAAATGAGATAGTTGAATAAACCATTTACTTACCAGGTTTGGCTGATGCTTTTCACATTAAGTTTGTATTATTAGAAAATTTATCTCAATCTTCCTCTTTCAGATGGCTAGATTATAGACTGACTGAAATATCTCCATTTGTTTGTTAAAGTGTTCTGTATGGTTTCTAATGCAGCTGATTACTAAATCATTTAAAAATCGGCCTACATTTGTTCCACTTAATCAGAGAAAGCCTCGCCCGTTACCTTCTCTATATAGGGATAATCTAAAGATTTTCATTACGTACAGGTAACTGCAAAGATATCTTAAAATGCTTCAATAGAAAATAGGCATAATAATCCTATCAGATTATTGATTTGGCACATTATTGATATTCCATTTCTATTGCATGTATGGAGTTAAAAAGATTTTACTTTCTGCTATTTGAAATAAGACAGAAATAGCATATGAAGTTTGGGGCTTTCATGGGTTCTAACAAAACTTGTTTGTACTAACCAGCAGTGTTATTGGTATCTATTTTATGTCTGTGTTTTACAGATACCAAGAGCGGTTATTGCTGAGGTGTAAATAAAAAATCGAGGAATGATTCAATTAGATGTTTTCCTGATGTCTGCATGTAGCAAAGATCTATTGAAAAAATTCCCTGAAAAGTGAAAATGGTCAATTACAATGTAATAACAATATGAATTTAGGAAGGGAAACTAGTATTTTAAAAATCTGTGAATAAATTATTATTATTAACACTTTGAAATGAGTACCTCTGCATATGAGAAAATCCCTAATATGGTGTTATTTATTTTTCTTAACTTGAATACTTTTAGTGTAGAATCATTTCTTTCAGAAAACTATGAGATATTTCATGTCATTGCCTGCAAACAGTATTACTAAAACTTATTTTATCTACACACTTTTAACTTGGGAATAAATTAGGCTAAGTTTGCTTTTTGCATTATGATTTTGGTTCTGACCCTTGGCAAGACTGTTTTGAAGGGACATATGATTTTGTTATTTCAAATGTTTAATTTCTTTCCCCTAAGACTGAGGTACTACTTACAAAAATAAGAAAAAAAAATGGCTATTATTGAGAGTAGAATTGAATATGGAAAGAATGTCCACTTTTTAATTTTATTCCTGGCTCTTTGCCCAATTCCTTTGAAGGACTTAATAATTTTTTTTCCTGATGATGCCTCGAGGTGAAAAGAGACAGTATCTGGTGGTTCAAACAGTTTGAATGAGGTAATCGAACAGAGCTGGAAAGTGATCTTCTATCCCTGGTTACTTACTGCTGGGAATTCTGAAAGTGTTCACTAAAGAAAAGACTTTATAATTAAATTAACATTTAATCCCAATTCTCTACTTACTCATTCAGTTTAAATCAATAATGACAATGGGATCTCTCATGATATTTCACCAGTTAAAAGGAAGAAAAAGAATGCCTGAAGGTAGCAGTATAAATGATATACTGTTGATATATGATCATTTTGGTCTTTAGATGCTTCATAGAATTAATTGTTTTGTTTCAGAAATATGAAATGACGTCTGATACGTGGCTCTCTAAACAGGTATAGTATAGTGGTCTTTGTCACA